TTCCAAGTTGTCCCGTGCAACTTGACAACCTGTGATTATCTGTTACATAACTCCGTCACGAATTTATATATGTTTGAGGCGCTTCTTGATCGCCTTTACCGATCCATATGTCCTTTAACAGCGACAGTGGACCTCTGGGATTAGCACCATATATAAGTTCGAAAGGTGAGAAACCTGTACTGCTCTGGGGCACCTCACGATAGGCGAACAAAACAGCAGGAAGGTATTTGTCCCCCAGTCTGCTGGAAATTGATTAGTAACTTTGGCTAGCATAGCTTTTATTTTCCCATTTAAATTTTCTACTAGCCCATTTGATTGTGGGTGATATCTTGCAGAAAAAAACGTGAGAGATAGCAAGTAATTTGTCAAAAGAGCGCATTGCTTCTGAAATAAATTGTGATCCGTGATCTGATAGGATTGTTTCAGGAAAGCCTACTCTAGAGAATATAAGCATCAATGCTTCTGCTACTGACTCAGTAGTGATATGACGTAACGGTACTGCTTCAACCCAACGTGATGCCATGTCTACAAATGTTAAAATGTATCTAAATCCTCTTTGTGAAACAACCGGTGGCGGACCACAAGATCGACAGCAACTTTTTCGAAAGGACGACATGGAAGATAGACCCTTTGAATAGGAGGTTTCTGAGATGCATCCTTTCTCGCCATCATTTGACAATCTTTACATGACCTACAGTATTTCCTAATATCTGTGGAACAACCAGGCCAATAGAATTGTGCAAGAACTCTTTTCTGTGTTTTACCTATACCTAAATGTGCAGCAAAAGGTGTGTCATATGCAACTCTCAGAACATCGGTTCTATAACATAAAGGAACGACTAATTGTTTACATTGCATAACAGGTGATTTAAAATATCTCATTAAAATTCCATTCTTCACATAAAAATGCCATGTACCTTGCTTACATGTTCTAACACCGGTTACTTCTGCCCTAGAAAAGCATTTAGTGAGGGTAGGATCCGCCCGTTGTTGTATCGCAAAAACTGTTTGTTTTCGGTGCGTGTGGTTCGTTTCCAAGCTCTTTTGGTCGTTCTGGTTCATTCTTTAGTGCTTCTTCGCTAGCTATCCCACATGTGATAGCTATTTGTTTTTCGTTCGAAGTAGCTGACTGTAACGCAGGTGTAGCTTCCTCGTTACTTGCTCTCTGTTGAGGCGCGTGTAACTGCAGCATTAGCTTCAGTCACACCCTCATTTTCTTTATACCAGCGTTCGATTTCCTCACGCGAGGGCATCTTTTGCTCCTGGAACTGATCCAAGGAGTACGTCTGCTGATGGTCTCTCCAAAACACACACTTCGGCAACCCCTTGAAAATACGGGTTATTAAATAGACTTTTGCTAAAGGAAATCTTTCTAAACGACCACCAAAAGTACGACACTTGCAATACCGACCTAAGTATGCCGATTGGGGATTAGGTATCTAGCCACTCCTATAACATTGGCGCCCGTGTCACGTAATACTTTAGATTTTTATGTTTCCAACATAAACCATTATGCAAAGGCAAACCAGCCTCCAGTGGTACAGCAGACAACGCTGGGTAAACAATTTCGGGTTGGATTCGAACCTGACCGTCCGCTAAATTTGTCACTTTTTTGTGACATCGCTGCGTTTACTGTTTGCGCGGAATTAGCATGACTGCTTCATAACCCTTGGGCAATCAGAACGTTTATGGAAACCACGGCATACATAGCACCTTATAGGACCTGTGTTGCGTTGAAACCTACCTCGTGAAGATGGACCATCATCATCATCTTTCCTGTGTCGCTTGTGGGGACAATCGGGACTTTTGTGTCTCACGAAAGACAGATTGAACAAGCAGATGAACGGGTTTGATAATGTTCACCCTGCTTTTTGGACGTTTTTGATCTCTATGGGGTGGTTTGTCTCTGTTCGCTGTGGCTGCGATAGCGCCCCTGCCTATTATGGCATTTGTTCCACCCGGGCCGATTTGACGAGGCGTTGTGGTGCACCCTAATATGGATGCAGCTGGGAGTATGTCCTCGAACCTGGGGTTGTGTAATGGTTTACCAGGATGTGCAGTGACATACTGTTCTCCCAATGTTGTCATCTCCTCAACTGACTTCGGTTTCCTTTCTTGAAAAAATGAGAACATCTCCGAACTACATGAAGACAAAATTTTATCTCGAATAATGAGATCAGCCAACTTATCATAAGAGTTTTTAACATCTGCCAATGTCACCCAACGCGTAAACAACGTTCTAACGCGGGCCACACAAATCCGCGAAACTTCCATCGACGGATGGCACAACAGATTTAAACTGCACACGGTAACCCTCTTCGGTCATGCACTTCGACGCCAGCAGTTTTTGTTTGACTATTTCGAACGACGCGCGTTCGTCTTCTGATAAGTTCGTGAACGTGTTCACGAAAAAAAAAAAAACTGGTCCCGTTAGCAAATCCCTTAAACGTGATACCCATTGTGTTCCTCTGGTATCTTAGCTGTATTCATCGCTAAAGAGAAGCGATCCAAAAAATTATGAATATCTTCTGTAGGTGTAAGAAACGGTAATTTGGGTATGTATACACATGCCCCTTGTTCAGCAACCCGAACGGCTACTAGTCACAAGACGACGGCTCTCTGATTCTGACACAGCAACAACCTTGTCTCTATCTATACGCGCTAGTTCTAATTCGTTCTCCAAACGTAACCTTTCCAAAATTAGTCTCCATTTTCGAAACGCAGTCTCTCCGCCATAGCTTCTTTTTCCCAGCGTAGTTTCTCAGCCTCAGCTTCTTTTTCCATGCGTAATTTCTCCAACTCCATTTCTTTTTTCCAGGCGCGTTCCGCTGTTCTCTCATCGCGTAACTGGTTATCTCTGTCCGACAACTCTTTCATTCTGGCTTCGGCGAAAGCTAAGAGTTGTCCATTTTCTAGGCCTATACTTCGACCTAACTCCAAAAACTCAGCAAATGTAGACATATTTAAATAATATGACAATCAATATACAATATATGATATATATGATAGTGTGTGGTGAAGTGACGCCACAGGTCAACGAATACTGCGTACTGTCACACACGTACAATTAATGTGCCACTCGCTCTCCACTTGCGCACGGAAAACCAGGACTGTTCCCTGGAGGAAAGAGTTAAAATTGTCAGCGCAACAGAAACCACAATAACCACAATTGACTTACCAATTGGGTGGCGTACAAACAACACACTGCAATGTTAGCGATGAAAAATCGCTAAAATAACGACCGGTGCAACGGCAAGTAGCAGATCAATGTACAACCAAAAGGACGACTTGATCCGATTCAATCCCACGGAGAGTGGCACAGTCAGTAACGGTGACTTGATTATGATGAAGATCCAGCGAAGTATGATACGGAGATCCAACGAAGAGTGATCCGGTCCCGATGAAGATCCAACGAACGAAGAATGATACGGTCCCGATGAAGAAGATCCAACGAAGAGTGGCACAGAGATCCAACGAAGAGTGATTGATAAAGTCCAGATAAAGATCCAACGATGGCTAGAACAGACCGGCGGCGGCGGCGACTTGATACATTGAACGATATCCACAGCTAGAGATATGTTAAGACTGTGACAACTGGAATGTGCTTCGTGTACAACTTGAGGCACAACAATGCGGCAAAATGTCGTATCACACTTGTGACGAGAGGTTCCTCATTCTTTAAAGGCTGGCCTCCATTGTTACGTGCGGTCCTTCATGCTGATGTGTGTGGTACCAAGATGAAATAGGCCAAGTAGGGGTAAAACAGTAGTTACTTCAATGCTTTCAAAATGTAGAGCTCGAACGCTATGCGTTAAGTTCCAACGGTTGTATTGATATATACAATCAGCAATGATTAACACAAAGGATACATATGCAAGTAATAATCAACTCGTTCAACCAAAGCTCGCTCGTACATCCATGTAATGATATGTCCTCACGATAGGTCGCAGTCCGACCTTGAGATCCAGACGATTTACTTTCTCCTCGGACAAGTCCGAATTAAGCAATGAAAGTATACCGGCTTACTGCCGAGAATGTAGTATTCACCAGCTTCCTGCTGAGGTCTATCTTGGAATCCCGGGGTAAAACGTCCTCAAGGATCCAACTTTATATAACGTTTGCTTCCGTGGGATCCCGGGGTAAAGCGTCCTCAAGGATTCCCACGTCCGTCTCCTTCGGACTATAAACATCAACTGCCTTTGACAACATTCCTTCACAACGTTACGTATTATTTTGACGTCTTATTTGCTCACTCCGTACTGGTGCGTTCTGGTGCACATTCGCACGCGACACCCACCCCCTCCCATTATATGGAAGCTTAAGACAGCAGATCGATTGAAGATGTACTAGATACGAGATTGAGAAAACTGCTTGACTGGAACAGAAGTGCTAATGTAATAAAAGAGCGGACGAGGCAACAGACGGTGCTGAACCAAGGTATGCACTGAGATAAAATACCATTTTCAAATTGTAGAGTAGCTGACGTAAAATAATGAATTTTGCAGCGGAAACAACTTATTAGATAATTCGCTAGGATAAATAATGACATACGACAACTAACTGGATAATAGACGGTGCACTGAGAAGAAAAACATTATCAAAGGTACGTTAAGTTCTATAACCATTTTGCTGTTGTTTTGTTTTAAATATCGAATCATTCCTCATCTTTGCAAGAAAAATCAATATGCAGCTGTGTATTTATCTATCTAATCACTCATTAGCACCAAGTCTGTTGATCAAAATCCGCCCATTTTATGGCCCCGCCATGTCGTGCAACATCAGGATACGCCCAGTGCATATTTGCTCGGGGATGAACGTTGCCGGCAAGTTACTCTCTTCAGTCACGCACACTCTACCAGACGTCACATATCTAGCAAAACTAGATCTGTAAGGGAGGGTGATCTCATGTATTGGCCTGTTAAACTTGGAATCACACAAACGAACTATATTGTGCTACATTTCTTTGTACTTCACAGCTCAGACTTCATTTCTACGACATAATGAGTACTGACCAAGGTTCGATATTTCAATGTACACCGTTCACAGTGGAGAAGTTGAGATGGTGGTTCAACCTACTGGATGTAAACAAAGATGGCAGCATTTCTGAAGCGGATTTCCAGCTCATCGCTAGCAGATACGTCCAGGTATATCACAGATAATCTTCTTCTTCTTCTTTTTCTTCTTCCTTTTATCTTTTTGTCTGCTTTTATTTCTATGCCCCTGTGGGTTCCAGTGTAAAGACATGCTAGTTATATTGTACTCATGTCTAAAATGTCTTCTCTATCATAACTGGTTTTTTGGCTCTCCTCCGAACTTCAACCCGATATTATGGCGGCCATAAAATATTCTTACGGGACTCAGGAATATGTAAAATGCAGACTTTCTGCCAGGGAACAAATCGCAGCAAAACTAGGATTACTTGACAATTTCAAGAGACGCAACATTGTAGACGATAGTAGCAGACGATAATAGCGACCGTTGACAATTTCGAGCGTTTCTGCAGACGATATTAGCAGACGATAATAGCATGCGCAAAACGCGATTAAACTCCCCCGCGCCGCTACGCGCTGCGCCGATAGGGGGTGAAACTAGGTGCCTGGGACTCATGAGCAATTTAATTGGAGGAAGTTGCAGGAGATGCAGGAGCTGCTGCTCGTGAGTCTCAGCCATCTAGTATAGCCCCCATCCGCGCCGCGTGGGGGATACGGTCGGCGGTGAGGCATAGTCACAGAAACAGGTCCGCAAGTAACATATCGCTGAGACCCTGTTAGAGCATTTGTTTCGTTATACGGAGCCGGCATATTTTTAATAGAACTGAGCCCCGTAAGGATATTTTATGGCCGCCATAATATCGGGTTGAAGTTCGGAGGAGAGCTGGTTTTTTCCTCAAATAGGATAATCTACTTAGCATTTAAAAAAAATAATGTTAATTGTATGTCCTCTACAGCAGAGCTTTTATAAACTGTGTGTCGTGCACACATCAGTGTGTTGGCTGCAGTGTGAAGGTGTGTCGCGCGAACGTAATTGATGGGTGTGCGTCCGCATCTCTTATAACTGGTGAGTTTAACCTCTGGCTTGTTTCGCAACGCCACAGACGCCCAAAAAGCTGGTATAAGTTCACTATTTATCTTTCACTTGAGCTCACAAAATAGCAGAGCACAAAAACACACGTGCGTAAGTAGAAACAAAGCCAAATCCAAATATCAACATCTATAGGGGGAAAAAAAAAACAGATAACCTATAAACTGTGGTCGGCGTCTGTGGCTTAGGCGTTGCGAACGCGCTTCGTAATACTGAGGTGCCGGGTTCGATTCCAGCTGCGGACGATTTGTCTTGCATTGGTTTCGACAGTGGTATGGAGAAGCCGATCGTACAGAAAGCAATGGCAAACTACTGGACGTAATTTGCCTAGAAAAACCACAAGAGCCAAACAAACATTTACTGGGGTTGATTCTGCAATGTCCTGTAAAGGATACACAACTAACTAACCAACTAACTATAAATAGCGTCAATCAGCAGTTGATTTCGCCAAAAATATAAGAGAGCTCCAGTGAATGAATATGTCTGGCCAGAAATATAGCGAGGGATTATAATCATTTCACATACAAACATCGCGTTGCCAGAAACTCTAGGTGTCATGTTTATAACGGATTTTGTTTTACAAGGCCTGCGACCACGTAAGTACATAATTGTAAATTTGTCCCGAGGAAAAAACGAGGGTTGTCCACCCCTGCATTAAAAATGAAAGAGGCAAACCTGACTGTGTATATTGTGGATTAAATTCCCCCCCCCCCCACAAATGACCTTGGCTCCCAGGCCGACCTAGCCTTGAGTGGGTACCAGGTATGGTCCTAGAAAGTAAAGGCGGCCTTCGTGATTGGTCTATAATATAAAGGTCTAGTCCTATATGCCAAATACGTTTGGAGGCATAGATAAGGGCCCTAGTGTTGTTTATTGTTTGCGTTCACCGGCTGTTAACCCCGGGGAAAGACCTGGTTGTTCGTCCATATCTGGACTTTGGCTTTGTTCCAGAACCTGAGTTTTGCGCGTGTATTTGTTTTATAGACTGTGCTTATTTGTATGCAGACTGTTGCTTCCTTGCCTCTCAGGCAGATGCACTCAGATTTTAAAGGAAGCCACCAATTAGTTGACTCTGACAACATGCTAGTTGGGGTTTTTGTTGGTCTATTCTTTTTTTCCCCACAATGGGGTCCCGGAACCCACACAAGGATAAGACCTTTTGTATATTGTATTGTCAATCAGGAATATCAGCTTGAAGAAGCAGACACAGCGGAGCTGGGTGACAAACTCGTCAACAGTTGGGGGACACAAAAGCTGGAGGCGGTGGAGGAGGAGGTCAAGCACAATATTCCCCTCATTTCAAAGATGGCAGACGACTTGAAAGCAGGACTAAACATTGCTCAAGATGATATCATTGTTGCCTTTGAGCAGCTGATAGAACATAATTCGCAGCTGGCTAGATCTACGCTGGAAAATATGGTAGGGAAAATCTTCGGCTATCCTCCGAATAACGGCCCCAAATTATCCAGGCCGAAAATGTACCCTAACAGGGCCTCAGTCACATGTAAATTGCGGACCTCTTTCCGGCGACTACACAGCATACCGCGGAAAAGCTTCCGCCAAGTTAAAGTCACCACCGAGAGTATCTTCCGTACCGCTACGCGAGGCGCGGAGCGGGGCTAAACTAGATGGCTGGACTCACGAGCAGCACTACCGCCTCTCCTGCTGCTTCCTTCATTTTATTTGCCCGTGAGTCTCAGCCATCTAGTTTAGCCCCACTCCGCGCCGCGTGGATACTCTTGGCGGTGGAGGTATAATCGCCTGAAAGAAGTCCGCAATTTACATGCAACTGAAACCCTGCTAGGGTATACTTTCGGCCTCGATAATTTGGGAACGTTATTTGGAGGATAGCTAAATCTTCTTCTTCTTAAAGTCTATGCGTTGTGGCGTTGGTATTGATGTCTATCCTCAGCCTTCTGTATTGTATACTTTCTATCAACTCTGACACAGATTATTATGTTCTGTCGGTCTCCCTCCGCCTCTCCTCCCCTCCAACTTTCCTACCATCATGATGTACTCCAGTTTTCTCATTCTCATCACATGACCAAAGAATGTAGACTGTCAGTTTCTTTCAAAACATCTTTATTACCCTTTTTATCTGTCCAGGGTATTCTCATAATTCGTCTATAAAACCACATCTCCGCAGCTTCCAAATAAGTCACTAATTTACTAACTTTCATGATTCACACCCGTATATCAGTTTAGGATTTTTATAACTTTGTTGTACAGAAATAACTTCTCTTTGCAAAAAACTGCAATGTTTTCCCATGAGAGCAGTGTCCAGACTCTCTCGTTGTCCTAGCCATTGTGCCTATAGAGGCATCCTCTGCCTAGAACCGTTAAAGTGATGACCAGCATTGAAAACTTCTCAGCCTCTCACCACGTTTATCTATCACCTAGCGTTAGCCCCAACTATAAACCTAGCATAAAACCTATCCCAATCTCAAACAGTATTAAATTTTACAAAATGTTATTATGTCAACATACACAAATAATGGATTGCGGCCCCTAGGACTTGCATTTAAAGGATTATAAAATTACAACATATTGCGTCCCTTAGGATTGCTGTTTGAAGTTGTGCCCTTAGTTTATTGTTAGGCCAATTTTCACCATTCGGTCCTATTCACGTTTCGCGGCCCATCTACACACTTTTCCAGTCTGGTCTAGGTCACAGGGGCGTCACGTTGTACCGTTACTCAGACTGTGGGTAGGGGGGTTTTGGTTAGAGTCAGTTCTAGATGTTCTGAGGTCGTTACAAGTTGTGTCGTCGTGTAGTATAGAACACGTGACATCGGCGCTGATGTAATTGGAGGCAAGACAACGTGACACCCCTCTGACGTAGAACAGTCTGAGAAAGTATTATGAAATGTCAGTTAGTGTGTAGATGAGCCGGGAAACGCGAATAGCACCGACAACTTGGTGACAAAAGTAAATAATTCTTGCACTTATCATATTTAGACGAAGTGTCCCCTACCTTTCTCGTGTAAATACGAGTACATTTTGTATCCGTCCTCTGCTTCTTCTTCTTTCTCTTCTTCTCTAGTTCTCTTCTGCCTTTCAGCGTCAGGTTTTGAAGAGGTATGCCTTAGTATGTGCTACGTAGATGCTGGTATCCAAGGCCTCGAATGCTTCATCTATCCATCGCTTGTGTGGTCGACTTCTGCTTCTGCTTCCACTGTGGTTAAGTGGCAGGGATCTCTGTGGTGCACTATCCATGGAAGTCTTTACACATGTCCGAACCATTTGATCCGTTCTCTCTTGATATCCAAATACTAGTGCCTTTAAATGAGACAGAAACAATCTAAGATTGTGTATGTATTTATTTGTTTTATATTATTATATAATGAAAGGGACTGAAATTTTGAATTAAGAACTGGCATCATAACATTCAGGACACTCCCATAAGAACCCCGTCCAGATCTTCAGCAGCAAACGAAGAGTTCCAGTTTTTATGGTACCAGTAACTGTCCGATTGTATATCCGTCTCGCCTTTCCCTTGAGTGTTGAGCATCGGACATATTCCCTGGGAACTCCTCAGACCGTAATGATATATTTGTGTCTTCGCACCGTTCACTTGCTCCCAACGAACCCTCGCAAGATTTAGCTTGTCATAAATTAATTCACCACCAAGTTGTGTAGAACTGGCCAATTTATCTGCCTGCTCGTTTTCGAACCCACTGGCACAACCTGCAAACAAAATATCTGATCGCTTATGATGCAATGACAAACGTCTGAACGTAAATTTGCCTATAAAACAGCAATAGTTAAATAAATTGCTGGGGTTGATTTCGCAATGTCTTGTAAATGGATAGGCAACTAGACTGATGGTTGACAAAGACGAGTCGACAAAAGCCCGACTATGTGACCTGGGAGTAAAGCTAGGACGAAGCCCATCTATGCTGGCTTGGAGGTGAAGATAGGAGACAGTTTAACCAATTTCCTATTCCCTCTGGTCTCTGGGTAGTAAGATCGGACGCCCGTGTGTATTGTTGCGCTCGCAAAAAAAAAAATCACTTGGGAGTTGGAAACTGAAAAAGAGTAGCCTAATGGCGCTGCCCGGGCAAAGTTTGGAGTTAAAATATACCCAGAGTATTTCAGGATCTTCACCGGTGTTTTGGAGTTCGTGCACTGTACTGTGATTCTTCGGACTCGGCTTGAGTAAGCACTTATGGGTTACTACCCTTGTGTCGTGATGTAGATCCGTCGTCTTAACCTAAACCTAACCAACTTCCTATAGGAAGTCAATAGAAGTACCTTATAGTGGCTGCTGCATCGGAGGATTGAGCAAGCATGGAAATGCTTAATGTGTAATAAAATCGATTGTGATAACATAACATGCTATGACATGAAATAAAATGTTATCAATCCCCACCAGGTGGCGGCGTTTTTCGACGTTTTTGACTACAACCAGGACAACTACATCACCAAGCAGGAGTTTGTCGTGGCTATGAGATGTTTCGGTCTGGAGGAGCCAGAAGTCGCCGAGACCGTCTTTGTCTGCATGGGCGGAGACCAGGAGGGAAGGTTGAGCAGGCAAGAGTACGTAGACAGTTGGCTGAACTTTTTACTTGGTTAAGACAAGGACCACGCCTTAGTGGTCGCATTCGCCCCGCATTTGAGAGATGTGTAGTCAGATACCAGAACCACAGACATCTGAGCACGTTCTGCAGCACTGCCCACTCTACACACAACTTTGAAAAGACACCTGGCCTCAAAAGCTAAGGGTGCAGAGTAAGCTATGGGGAGATCATGAAGGACCTGCTAAGGACATACGAGTTCATAGAGGCACACCACCTGATGGTCTGATGTGAGCATACGAAACCGAACGCAAAGTAGACAAAGAGATACCAGAACTAGATTCAAGGAGTCACACGAGAACCTACCACGTCTGTGTTCTAGGGCCACATATGAGCAGGAGAGCAGGAGAGAGAGCGAGAGCGAGAGAGAGAGCGAGAGAGCGAGAGAGCGAGAGCGAGAGAGAGAGAGAGAGAGAGAGAGAGAGATGAGAGAGAGAGAGAGAGAGAGAGAGAGAGAAAATAGATCCACAACCCAGTAACAAGCATGCCGTAAAGAACGCAAATTAGGAGTTAGTTGAAATCGGATGTGTTGGAATGAACAGTGCACATATCGCAGGCTAGCTTTAAACCACGATACAGCCTGCTAGCTACATTTTTAATGGCAAAGCAGAAGAAGATGAGGGTGCGAAGATAAAAAAAGATGCCATAACTCACACCAACCAATAGATTACTTACCACCCTTGTTCCATGGGATTGATCAGTTGTCCAACCAAACATCAGCCAATGTTAGTCGTTTATTTTTCCATATTGGTTTGTATATTATTATTATTATTATTCCCTGTGTGGGTTCCGGGGTCCCATTGTGTGGGAAAACAAGAATTGATCCACTGCCTACTTAAAAAGCATGTCGTAAGAGTCGACTAACTGGGAGCTTGCTTCGAAGTCGGAGGGCATCTGCCTGAGAAGCAAGAAACCAAGTCTGCATACAAATGGGACATATCTGTCAAACGGATGCACACGCAACACTCAGGTTCTGGAACAGGACTGCAGTCTAGAAGTGGACAAACAACCAGAACTTTCAACCAGAGTTTACAGCTGGTGAAGGCAAAGAAGGAGAATTATTATTATCCGAAGACGAATGTGCTAACAATTCTCAGTCGTTCATGGTGAAGACATGGCAAACATTTTAACCTAATTTTTCAGTCATATTTGTACAAACATTCATACACTATAAATGGGTACCATGGTGTATGTCCTGGGGAAGTAAAGAAGTCTGGCGTAATGCTGACCACATTACCCACCTAATGCAGATTAATATGTAAAAATATGGGGTGCTCTCCCCATATGCCCGATGCGCCCAAGGCGTGAAAAAGGATCTTTACTATACTGTAAATAAAGCAGGATTAAAACTTGTTATCAACAGATTGCATGCCAGGTTTCAAGTTTTCAGCGAAAGTCGCTCTCATCCCAGCCTGTCTGAAAGACACTGGGTCTCTGGCCAGCTGTCCCACCTCATACACTTTCCTGTTCAGAGTGCCACTTATAACCTGTGCCCATCTTTGTGCTGGTCGGCTCCTGTCCCTGTTTCTTGGTGCCATGCCTGCCGTCTGCTACTATTCTTTCCACTTTTGCTGCCATTCTTGTCAATCCACTGTGGTGCTTGAGTTGGTCAACCTATTTTAGGTTCAAATTCAGAACATTCACCACAAGGCAGCTAAATGACTTTGCTATCATACAGAGCATTCAGACTTCACAGTTTCAATCAGACTTCACAATTTCAACAAATCTTACAATTAACAACAAACAAACCCCCACAATTACAACAAACCAGTCTCACAATTTACAACCAACAAACAAAAGAAAGAAGCCAGGACTGTGAATTCATGATACAAAAATGTCATTGTTAGTGTGCTGCAGGGATCGGAAAACCACTTCAGCTCAACAGAAATACATGGCCCAGTTCAAAAGTACAAACATACACAATACAAGTCAAGGAATACATGGGACAACAAGTGATAATACTTGATGGAACACAATCAATATAAAACGGAGCCAAAATCATTTTTGAAAAAAGACCAGCTCTGTCAGGACTTGAACCCACAACCTTCTGATCTGCAGGCGAGTGTCTAGCCACTACACCACAGCGACTCCCTGTAAGGATCTTAACCTGAGCTAAATCAATGAAGAAACCGGTTCAAGTTATATGTCTATCTGTGTGTGTGTGAGTGTTTGTGCCACAGGAAAGTTAAGGTGACACATAGTTACATGAGGGGATGGTGCTAGAAACAATGACATTTATCGATACAGTTATCAGTAGGATTGTTTGCATTTTCCAGCTCAAATTCTGGTGGAAAATCCTAGCTGCAGATCCATTTCTAGACTTTCACTTTGCTCATGGACTTGAGTTTTGCATGTGCATCTGTTTTAGACCTTCACCTTTCTGTGCGAACATGGATACATGTTTATAAATAAACATATTCGCTTTCCCATGACTGAATGAGACACGACTGTATGTAACAGACATGAATCTTCTTCTATGATGACATATTTGTATGTAATCTCTTTCTATGATGACATGTATGTATGTAAGCATTAACTTTCTGTGATGAAATTTATGTACATTCGTATGTACAATTATACCTTCTGTGATGTTTGCATGTGAATGTGTGTGTCTATGTACATGCGTATGTGTGTATGCTTGTATGTGTTAAATTTCTGTGACAAATGCCTATATTTCTATGTAAGTACAGGTAGGAATTATTTGATTACATGTATGTGCATCTGTATGTAAACATATTGTAAAACTTCTGTGGTGACATTATGTATTTGTATGTAAACACATACTAACCATCTGTGACATATATGTGAGTAATAAACCTTGTTTAATTTTATTATGTACATTACTATATTTTTCTGTGACAATATATGTGAACATATATATATGCAACCGTATACTCTTTGGTGACAATATACGTGAACATATATTTATATATGTAAACATATATTCTTCTGTAAAAAAATATGTCGGTTCAAGAGTGTAATTTTTACAGACTCCAGGGGATCATCACCACAGCTATAGAGTTCGTGCTTTGTGCAACGCTCTCGGCAGGCAGCTAGCCAGTCTGTGGAGAGAGACCGAGCCATATGGGAGAAAATCTGGTGCAATGAAATCGATCCTCTCGATTCTAACCTTTCTTCTTCTTCACTTCCTCTTTTACCGCTGTGGGTGTCGAGGGAGATATAAGGTTCTGTTTCTGGCCGCCTCGACCATAGGCAAATCGTGCTGTTGTTGAGCTTCTCTGATGTTATCCTTCCATCTTGTTCTTGGTCTAACTCTTGCTCTACGACCTTCTTCTCTTTCCATGTATGCTTTGTATGGTATGGTGTCACTAACCTTTGGACTTTAATATATGTGTATGTTGTGAATCGCCCGTGTGTCACCGGGGCCCTCACGGGAAGCAAAGAATAGTGACACTGCAACCCTACCAGGCATGTCGTAAAAGGCGACTAAGGGTAGGTGTTGGGCGTGAGGTTGGCTACCTCATCCTGTAAAAAACCATAGCACAAAAACCAACCAACCATGGATAAGTCAAAAAGCGAAGCAAATAAACTCCAGCCAACCAAGATGAGGGGAGGCTCTTCAAATAGAAGAAATAGTTACCCAAATGTACTTACCTCCTCTCAGCTAGGAAAAACCTCAGAATTGGCACCTGGAATGTTGTCTTTGCATTGGAACCCACAGGGCATAGGAATAAAGGAAGGCCAAAAAACACATGGATAGAGAGAGCTGGAGAATGAGGTTAGAAAGATTGGGAGGACATGGGAGAGCTCCATGTAATGGCGAAGGATAGAACGACTTGGCGTGAGTTGGTTGAGGGCCTATGCTCCATTGGGGGATAAAAAGGCAGAAGAAGAAGAAGAATGTTGTGAATGAAAACAACGAAAGTCACAATATACGGGTATATGTATGTTACACATACATGTTAAACTTCTGTGACAATATACACATACATATCTATGTGTATGTTATTCTTCTGAGATAATGTACTTGTAAGCATGGATGTCAACATATAAACTGCACACATAATGAATCAAGAAACAAATTACCAACAGCCTATACTTTCAAATATGGCTGACCGAATGATTACATTGGCAAGTAAACAAAATCAATGCATAACATAAATTTTAAAAAAATCAATAAATCCCGCAATTAGGACCAGTCAATGGATTGTAAACACCCAAATGTGCATTCATCCGGCCAGGTTTCAGTGACTCTGTGTGGAGTTCTGGAAATGACCAATGGAATTCTAGAACCAAACCAATGTTGCCAGATTGAGACAACCAACACTTCATTAACATAACTAGTTGGTTGAGATAGAAGCATGTGACCCACATATCAATCCATTCTCCTGCCTAGTTGAGTTGTTGGCTCAAGAATTGACATCACAGCACTCGGGGCATTCCCATGTGTGCTCTGTCTTTATCTTCAACAGCCAGCGCAGAGTTCCAGCACTGATGGTACCGGTCAGAATATGGTTATATGTCCGTCTTGTCTTTCCTCTGAGGGTAGTGAGCCGGCCAGACCTTCTGGTTACATACAGGTGCCTCATTCTCTCCAGGCCAAAATAATCTTATTTCTCTACTGATTACGTCACTTGTTCCCAAAGGGCCTTGACCACATCTGTCTTGTCAGGTCTCAATTTACCACCCAGTGATCCTGCCTATTTTCTGTTTAACCCACCCCTTTCCCTATTATGTTTAATCTACATGTTTGCCTAGCCATTTAAACTACCTGTATGCCTATCCTTGTTTATTTGACCTGTATTCTGTTTATTCTACCTGTATTCTGTTTAATCTACCTGTTTGCCTCTTCTGTTTAATCCACCTGTTTGCTTTTCAATTACACACAACCTTAATGCCTCTTCTGTTTAATCCACCTGTTTGCTTTTCAATTACACTCCACCTTAATGCCTCTTCTGTTTAATCCACCTGTTTGCTTTTCAATTACACTCTACTTTAATGCCTCTTCTGTTTAATCTACCTGTATGCCTATTGTCCT